ATCCGCTGTATTAATAAGATCCGAAAATCCGTGTAAAATACTCATCAGATCCGAAATCCGATCAATTTTTTCTGTAAAATCCGACGATCGGAAAACCTATCCCCCCCCCCCCCTTTATTATTATGCGGTTCAGATTTTTGTTATATGAAAGAACAGACATATCGAAATCGAATACGCGGACACGAAAATTGAAACATTTTTATTCCTGTTTTGCTGGTTATCTTAGGACTTTTTATGACAAGACGGCATTGTCTTTATAGAAAATGTCAATGAATGCTTTAAGGCAATTTTTAAAACTTTTAAAACGAAAAAATATAAATTAAGCATATAATTACCTCGGGTCGGTACGACACCGAGGTCATAAATTCGGCTCCTATTTTTTGGTTTTTTTTTCCATTTTGTGTCGAGCCGCGCGCGTAGTCGAAGAGCCTGCGGAGGAGACGACAACTTCCGGTAAATAAGTGTACTTCAGGGAAATTTCAAGCATCGACCAAAGCGAAACGGAACCCGAAGCTGTCCTTGCACAAAATCCGACATAGCCTACATGTTTAGCTGGATAACTATGCTCGAGTATATGTTGATATCAATAGAATTCTCTCTTGTAGTTTTGGTGCTACCCATCTAATGACGTCACAAAGTTCATTGACCTTCGAAGGTCATTTTTCCAAGATGGCAGCGAAACAAAAAGTTTGCATGCATTTTACTCGTAGACTAAAATGTTCGAGAAGGAAATGATAATATTTTCATAGTTAGGTTGTCAAGTAGGATTGAACTAGCCAATAAAAATTGTCGTTGCCATTGTCCTAATTAATATTTAAGTTCCGTGTTTAAGAAATAGAAAACATACAAATCTTCTCATTTCATGGGAATATCCTGAGTCTGCAATCACGCTTCAATTTTTGAATTGTAGAATAATTATATAGATGCACTATCTAGTGTATATAAGATGTCTATGGCAATGACACGTCATTTTCGGATGTAAAAGCAAGGTTAAATGCGCTGTTGTTTTTGCAAGTTATGCATGTTTTTTTCAGATATATATGCATACGCAAAATTTCCAACTTTTCCTTTGCTAAAAACAGTATCCAGTTAAAGCTTGAATAACACATTTTTACTTTGTCTGGGTTTCAATTTTACATATATCAAGCGACAACGTGGTTTAATTATACGACTGATCACATAAAATTCCCGCCAGCAGGAAATTAAGCCAGCAAATATCATGGTGTGACAGTAATTCTTTATGCTTTGGAATCAACGCGTTGGTAAATTGAGGTTATAGATTCATGTCTCGCTATTTATGAATGCTAACTCTAATCCCCACCCTGACCCCAACTCATAAACAAGCAGCGAGACACGAATCTATATCCTAAATTGATCTGCTTAATTGCCACTGACAAATCACGATATTTTGCTCAATCTCGTCCAATAATTGTATATATTCCGGGGGCCTATAACCCTCGGTAAAATTTAAATTGCTGTTTTAGTTTATGTATTTCTGCACGTCTGTTTATTTCGAATTTCAGAGATGGAAACTTCTATACTGATCCAGACAAGATTGGGTCATTCCAGAAAACATCCATACCACCCCAACGGAGGAAACAGGAAGTTAACCCCCCTACCCCCTTCGGATGTCCTAATACATTTACTATTATCAGAAACAATTTTTTCTCCCCTCCCCCTCCGGACGGCAGAAATTTCCTCCGTGGGGGGAGTATGGATCTTTTCTGGAACGACCCATTTCTAAAAATGTTTTCCAAATTATAAATTACAAGCTGTTCGGAAGTTTAATTTAAATTTTAGGTTAACCTATATAGGGAAACTAATCGGCTTGCGAACAATCGGCCCCACATCAAAAGGTAGAATAATTATTCGTGTGTTGAAACAATATAATTATTTTCCCGAAAAAACCTTGTTATTAAAAGCTTCTCACAAAATATTCCAATGTATTTTTTAGCTAAAACACTTTACAACTTTCGAATGTATTCGTAGGTCTGCATGCAAGTTACAGCTTTAATAATCACTATGGCCTCGCACGTTATGAGAAATAATCCAAATAGAAATAAATATAATTTATATAAATAGAATAAAATAATGCAGCAATGACGCATAATTTTACGATATACAGTAAAGGCAAGGCTGGGTGTACTAATGCTTGTAGGCTACAAATATATATAGGACACCAATTTTCTAACTTATTCGTTGTGTATTTAATCAAGGTTGAATAACGAATTTTTCACTTGGATTTTCACCCATAAAGCCTTTGGAAATCAACGACTTACTAGAACACGCGCTGAAATGAACAGAATTATTTCTATATTAACAAACTAGAAAATGATTCCAAGCAACAATTCTATATGGCAACAATTTTATCCAGGCATAAAATTGATAATATCGGGAGCGGTTGCCAAAAGCTGGTTTATAGCCCTAACCCTCAGAAAAGTTTAACCTGCATGCTGTTTTAGTTTATTTCTTCATATTTGTTGATTCCTAACGATCAATTTCCCAATTTAAGTTTACTTTGAATTTTAGGTTAATCTATAGGGTTTAGGTAATCGGCTTTCGCACATACAACCGGCCCCAGATTAAAAAACCTGGTGGAATAAGTTATTCGGTGTGCTGAAACAATATAATTATCGCTATTCATTTCCCAAAAAATCTTGTTATTAATAAAATATTGCAGATAATTATAAAGCAAGCATTTGTTTTGATGAATCGCGCGATTTGATTGGCTGCTGACGATGCAAGATTTTACGCAATTTTTGCATGCTATATACAAAGCTGCGACGCGAGAGCTGAGTTTCAAACGGCAAAAGATTGAATAATGAATTTACCTAGGATTTAGATTTTCACGGGAAAAATCTTTGGAAACCAACGAGTTGCTAAAATACGCGCTGAAAAGGTACGGTATGTATACACAATTTCAGGATTTTGTGGCAACTCACTCGCGATTGAGCTAACGTTTAAAGATTTTGTAGATGAAAATTTGAAGTGTAAATTTTGTCCCCGAGCCGACGGCGCGAAGCGCCGTGCGAGGGTACTAATTCCCCCCGGCTATTTACACCCGGGGAAGGGAAGCATTAGCGAAGTCTAAAGTTCATCAAATATCGCGGGCGTGGGTCACTGTGCGTGTTTCGGTGGGTGGTCATCCTCACTGATCTCATAATATAGCGGACTGTAATGAATAGCCAACACTGATTGGTCCAATTTAAAATTGGCATTATAACGGCTGCATGACGATTGACGACAGCGAAATTGATTTGATGATTTCTTGCAAATATATTTCATTTTTGCAAGATTTTGTAAATTGCAAAGGATTTTTAATGAAATAAAGGCAAGAGGATTGCTAAAAGAAGGAAGTAAAGGTGCCGACGTTAACGAAGGTAAGTTTGTTTTAAATATTGATGCATTGTTTGCTTTTAATATACTGTAATTTCGGTTGTAATTACTTTAAAAGCCGATCGTTGCGTCACTATAAAATATGAAACAAGACAGCGTATTATTTCAGTGTTTCTTTATTGATTACACTTTTTATAATACTAAGCAAAGTTATTTACATGGGAGAATTTGGAATCATTTTATTTCGAACTCAAAGTTTATCGATAAAGGCAGTTTAGTTCTATATTAAAAGAACACTTTCAAACGTTTTGCGAAGCGTTTGTGGTTGAATTTTACCTTAAATTGAAGCTTATATTACGTATAATAACATACCTACTGTAATTACTTTAAAAGCCGATCGTTGTGTATAAATATGAAACAAGACAGCGTATTATTTCAGTGTTTCTTTATTGATTACACTTTTTATTATACTGAGCAAAGTTATTTGCATGGGAGAATTTGGAATCATTTTATTTCGAACTCAAAGTTTATCGATAAAGGCAGTTTAATTCTATAGTAAAAGAACATTTTAAAACGTTTTGCGAAGCGTTTGTGGTTGAAATTTACCTTAAATTCAAGCTTATATTACGTATAATAACATACCTAACATATATATGTTTAGGAAATTGATAATTTTGTAATTAAAAGTGATATTTATAGAGGATTTTTCATTTGTAAAAATATTCTTAGAAAATAATCGTGTTACCGTGACAACTACTTAAAATACTTCACTTTCGGAAAATAAAATGGTTTTGTCAGCAAGGCGAGGGTTTCTGCATGCATGTATTTTCTAGTACATTACTAAGACTTACAAAAATTTCAGTTGCAAATTTTACTTACATGTATAAGTTGAAGTTGGATGCAGATTCTACCGATTCATGGTCAGTAACATAAGAATTACGTGAAATTGCGCAAGCAAGCTATATGAGTGTTTACCAGTGAATGAGCACAAGATAAAAATATACAGGGAGGGAGCATATTTGTATTAACTGATGTCATTAAATTGTATAACAACTGTTGGGTGGACACGTAATTCCTATGTTCCTGACTATGAATCGGTAGAATCTGCATCAATCGTCAACTTGCAGGTAAGTCTCGTTTAATTTTTGAATTCTATACCTTATCATAGTCTACGTAACATGAAAATCATGTGAGATTTTAAAGCCCTGTGATTATGAACAAGTACAACCTTTATATTTGCCTCAGCTGAACCAGCATTACAGGGTGCATTAATGGGCTTGTGATAAAACGTAGCAAACGTTCCACAATTTGACCATGCATCCAGCAGATTCCAAGATACTTTCAACAGGAGCACCTGCCTTGGCTAGTGAAGGCTGCTCTAGTATTGTGAACAATGAGTTTCGTCATATCAATATCTGCATCCTTAAACACAATCTTAACCCAACGAGCCCTTACTGACGGATTTAAATGGCTTCTGGTAACTAAACAATAACTGCCTCCTATTACTGTCAGTCATGTGAGCAACAGTTTGTTCAATAGATGCTCTCAATGACGGATAATATACAAACTACGCTCTTGCATGGTCAAACGCTTGCTGTTCCATATGTTTTCATGGTCTTCACTGTTTCTGTAAACTGCATGGACAAGTAAAAAGTTAATTTCTAATCTGACATGTCCATGTAGTTAACATCCAAGCAGTGAATCATTTGCGTTCGTTGGTCAGTTAGCAGAGCCAGTAACATAACAACTTTTAATGCATATAAGCTCCATATAAGTGAAATGCATTCAATAGAAGGGTAAGAACAAAGTTTGTTCAACACTTCGTTGGCATCCCAAATAACTTCATGACGCGTGGTAACGAAGGTTTATGTTCAAAAACACCCTTCAGAAATCTTTTTACCAAGGGGGCATACCAAAAGTAAAGGAATCCTCAACTACATGTATGGTTGAGAGGGCTGATCTAGCTTATTGACTGCACTATAGTCCATGCCTGAATCCACTCGCTCTGCCAAGAAATTACAGCAGCTCGTCCTCCCCACGCATGCAGACTGTCACTTTGTGACTCATTGCATGCATGGTCGTTGTTTGCGGTGTTTTCCGCTTCATTAGAGTATCGGTGATGTATGTCCCTGAATGGCATTCCCGACAACAGATCGAGCTTCTTTTCAAGGCCATGGATGACCTTCTATTGCATTAAGTTAGGATCAATACTTATCACCCCGGTGGTGTTACGATCCTCAGTCCCCCCCCCCTCCCATCCTCGAGCAATCTGCCCTTCTGAACAAAAAGCGAATTTCCTTCCCTCGTTCGCCTTGGCGTCTGCCATGATCGAAAACTTTTCGCACACTGATATAGGTTGCTCGCGAAATCTCATGAGGTATAATTATCTCTGTTTTAATTTTTAGCCTGAATGCATGAAATGGCCAGGGCAGAATCGTGTCCAAAGAAACAATTCACATTTGAACCACTCGAAAAGAAGAAAATCAAGCACCATGATGACGAACAGCCCAAAGTAACCAAGGAAACTCTTTTGAAAGTACTTGCGGATATAGAAGACGAGATTGGAGAGCTAAAACAGGGTAATTTGGAAAAAAAATTGAAAGACTTGCGTGAACAGGTGAATGTGCTTTTGCAAAGACATGAAGAGGAATTCAAACGCCTTTGTGCAGAAATAAATGATCTCAAAGAAGAAGTTGAAATGTTGAAAGCCAAAAATAACGAGTTAAGTGATGAAAATAAGAGGCTCGTGAACAAGCTCGCTGTAGCCCAAGTAACGTGGTTGTGGGAAGCACATTTAGTAAGATTTGTGGTCCACCCTTCCAAACAAATCTTTCAGTTTGACAGGTTTAACCAAATGAGATTGTACTTGAAAAGGGTTAAAAAGAAAGACAACCTTTGGACGAAAATACAAAACAATATCGGAAGTTGGACAAGAAAGCATTGGAAAATGGTCAACACCGTAAGAAAGGAAAGAAATGGCGTCGCACATCCGGACATCATTGACCTCGACCTCGTTGAATCTGAATTAACCAAAATGCCTCTATATTTCCGTGACCCAATGCGACACATGATGGATATACTGAAGACAACAGCAAGTCTAATGAAATTTGGACGACTGGCAGAGTTCTTCAAAACGAACAAGCATTTGTTTCCGACTGAAGAAGCGCGCGGTAAAGGAATGGACGCACGTGCACTGAAGGATATACATTCGTGGGACCGTAAGTTTGAAGAAATCGATGGTCTCCAAAATATCCAGCACGAGGAAGCGAAAAGGTACTTAGCCAAGTACGTAAGCGATTCTCGCATGATCAATCAGTATTATTTCATCGTTGATTTTATCAAGGATGGAAACAGGAAACGTCTGGGAAAACTGGCCTGGAAATTCGAAAAGTGTTATTCCTTTACAAGTATGTCGACGCAAGAAAGTGAAGCGCTAAATGAATTAAAGAAATTGCTCTCAAAGCCAGAGGACGAAAGCAACGTTGCAGATCTTATAATAGCAAAGTTGCATATACCCGACTTTTTACCAAAGCATTTGTGGAAGCATGGTATCAAAATCGTGGAGAAATATTTTAAAGGACGCTAATAAGAACCTTGAGCGTTTTAGTTCTCGCCTTAAACTGAACTTTGCAAATAAATCCAGTCAAATCTGGTATTTCACGAACAAGCACACATCATAGAAGAATGAAGATCATTTGAATGTTAAAAAAAATTAAATCGCAAGTAAATAATCTGATATTTTATGATGCACCTCTGACTTTGACCGTCAAAATATCAGAGCCGACCGAGCGTCAAAACGCTGCACTAATTTGAATTATTTTCATTATTTATTTAAAAATGCATGGCTTCGTAATTATGAAAAGCAATCATATTCATAATTTAATTGGCATAATGTGAAGAGACCCAGTAAGACTCACAATAAAACAGACAGTGCAGATACATTTTTAAATATTGTTATAGTGAAACTATACACCATATATAACTATGTTATAATTGTAATGTAAGAATACTGTAAAAATATTATTGTTGCTGCATGAAGCCTAAAGGAATGTTACTAATACATTCTATAAGTTTTATTTATATTACCGTGCATTTTACTATAAACCACTGTACAAAAGCATGCAGTTTTTGAATTTTATGATCACAATTGTGACAATTATAATTAATTTTTAAAATCTACGCTGTGACTATACTGTAATATTAAAGCACAAATGTAATAATAAATTACTTCCAATTTCAACGTCTTCTTCTTTAACTCATTAATATTCGCGTATTTAAATAACATGTACAGTTCGACAAGAATTTGTTAAAGCTATACGTACGACGTAAATAATCACTTTTAAAAATCAAAATTTCGTTTTATTCAAAAAAGATCTAATTTCAGTAATGAATAATACAATATTGAATGTAGATTGGATTTTTGTGGATGGAATTTTCAAACAAAATTTTTTATATACTTTAGGCCCTTGAACCGGCAGGAATCGAACTTGCGGCCCTGCGATTCCGGATTTTGCAGCTGCATGCTCCCGGTTAGGTCTAAATGGTGTAAACATTTTCGTTTGAAAATTCCATCTACAAAAATCCCATCTACATTCAGTTATATCGCACGAGATGCCATAAATCTTGGTAGTGAAATGTTTTCTGGCAACAAGAAAACAATAATTTAACAATTATTTTTACCTCAGGCTCAGCTAAAAGCCTGTACGTGCCTTTGTCTCTGGGTCTATTTTTTCCCCGATGTTTTTTCTGCACGATAACTCAAAAAGCCTATGAATGGTGAAACAAGACTCATGAGTGAACTACAAACTCATTTACCTGCTGAAGTTCCGATAAAATGTCAAAAAGGTCTGCTTTTTGGACAAAAACATTCACAAAATGTTGGGGTTTTTTCTGTTTATTACTGCGGCTTGCCATAAAATTACATACCACTGGCTCAACCTACCCATAATTACAGAGTTATTTGCTAGGAGATGACACTGTTATGTGCGTAGGTGGCGTGATTTCCATATTTAGCTGTAAGCTATTGGCCGATCAGAAGACGCGTAGTGACTATACAATGTATAATAAATATACTTAAAAAGCTCATTAATAATTAATAAAGAAAAGACAAAAGAAATCACTACCGTGCATGTCGGTGGTTATATATCTGATAAAAAATCCAACATTTTCTATTTTGTAATTCGTAAACTATCTTTGCAGGTAAACACATTTTGAAATATTTATTCGGTTACATGCAAATGTCTGCAACGTATTCTGTTAAAAAATTAACAGAGTGTCCAGAATTTACGTTCTATTAAAATGTTCGTTATTCCCTTAGAATTTTTGCTAGAATAAATATAGAATTTCGAAAATCCCAGTATATCTGCGTGGCGTACGCGGTTCGTGTATTTGTTCAACTGGATTTAATCTTATTTGGTAAGAAAGATTACATCACTCACGGTTTTAGAGACTCAGAGGGTGACGAGGCACTTGAGAATTTCTTTCAAAAACACCAGCAGCAATCTTTTCAAGATTCGAGTCTCCATTCCTTAGCGTTCCTTGGGTAATTGAAAACACCAGGATATTGTGACATCTTGTTATGATGGTTATGTCAGTATTGTTATTACGATGGTGATAATGATTATTTGATGGTATGGTGATAGGGTTATTATGATGGATTATGTTTGGTGGTGATAGTAATGGCGACGGTGTGATAAGAACAATGATGGTTATTATGGTGGTGATGATGATGGTAATGATAGCGGTGATGATCATGGTGATGATCACGGTAGTAGTGGAACTCTATGGTGACAACAATTTAGTTTACTATCATCAGACGGTAATGTTGATGGTTGTTGTGATTATCATTGATGGTGATAATAAAGATAGTGATGAATTTGATAGCGGTAATGATGGTGCCATGATGTTTCGAAAACTATTATGACGATGACTGCAATAATATAACACAAATACATACCTTTCTTAATTTCACCAAGAGCAGTCTTGTTGCGATGATAGGCCTCCTGACAAAACGTATTAGCCAGTAAAACCTAATAGGGAAAAAATGCACAGCAAAATTTACAAATGTGGTCTAAAGAAATCCCAATCTTGCTAAATAGGTATTTCAAATCAGCATGATAAAGATGGAAATTATGGTGTTGGTGGTCACAATGCTGGTGATCATAGTGATGGTGATTATGGTTTTAACGACAGTATTGGTCATACTAATCATGATCGTTGTGATGTTAATGATGATGGCTGTAGCGTTGGTAGTGCTGGGGACAATTATTTTCACTTTTTATATTTGCTTACTTCATAATCAGCATTCAAATCTTCTTTCGCCATCGTTCTCGTTGCCCTTGACAACACGGCTGTCATACCAAATATATTGATGATTACATTAGACAATCGTTTTAAAAGCAGCTGTTGATCAACGATATTCTAGAAAAAACAGTGTACTAAATTTACTCATTTGTTGTTGCCGTCTATTGCCGAAAGAGAAACACACTGTAGTTCTATTGTTTATGAGTAGGATTTACTTCGCTAAATCACTCGCTTGGTACCCAAACATGGGCCTGGTCACATGGCAGGAGAAAGGCCCCATGCTTGAACACTCATATAAGTAGACTTGTGGTAGGTTCTTTCTTGTGCTTTGAGGTTTTCTGCGGGTGAACCTGCGTACTGCAAGTACATTTCAAAGTTGTTACTTCGTAAGAATTGTAAAACTGTGGAAATCTGCTCCTTCTAACTGCTAATGTGTGGAAATCTGAAAATGTGTGGAAATCTGCTCCTTCTAACTGCTACAACACTCCCTCCACCATTACATGCTTATCTCCACCTAACTCCTACTGCCTACACTTCTGACTTTCCAATTCACTCATTCTACCACTTCATCTTGTATGTGCTTCTAGCTTTCTATCCACCTTCCATTTTTCTATTCAATACTTTTCTTGCTCTTCTAAACTATCTCAACTGGTGGTGAGCACCTTGCATGGGATCTAGTCCCGTTTGTATTTCGCCACTTTTGACACCTTTTTTAGTTAGTATTCTTCATACTCTTGTTAAATATAGTTATCTATTTAAGTTATGTACAATATTATCAAGTTATCTAGGTGCACAAATTTAAATTGTTGAATGACATTAAATGAAAATTGAATTAAATTTGATTTGTTGGATTCAATGGTTAACTACACCATGTGCAAACAGACATATTAGAGAATTACTGTATCAAGCAAGTGCCTCCTAAATTTGGAAACATGCCTTTTTATATTTCCTGAGTAGTTTTTCTGACATCACACCAAAGTCGACGACATTTTCTTCCAGTTTTGTCGCACTTTTCTACAAATAAATCAATCAGAATTTCAACTTATAAAATATTAGACTGAAAAACTTTAGACAAAAAGTTGGCGTTTGTTATAAATGGCAATTAGAGTAAAGGGTTTATTAGAGAGGGGATGCGTTGCAGATGGGCGTTAATTAGAGTGAAACGTGTCTTAGAGAGGTAGTTTATTAGATAACGGCTTATATTGGCGAGGGAGTTTATTGGAAAGAGGCATTTATCATAGAGGCAGTCCATTAGAGTATACCGCGCATTACAGGAGCATTCATTAGAGGATGGCGTTTATTAGAGAGCAAATTTATTAGAGTTTGTTAGATAGAAGCGTTTGCTGGAAGCGTTTTTTAATAGAAAGAAGTGTTTATTACAGAGGAGCGTTTATTGGAAATAGGCGCATATTAGGGGGGGGGGGGGTGGTTATTTGATAATGGTGCTTATTACAGAGGGAGTTTATTAGAGAACAGGTTTTTAAAGAATAATTAGAGAGGGAGGAGCGCTTATTAGGGAGGAGCGCTTATTAGAAAGAAGCGTTTATTAGAAAGAAGCGTTTAGTAATACTCGAAAGGAGCAATTAGTGGAGAGAAACGATTGGCAGAGACGAGCGTTTATTAGAGAGGAGCGTTAATTAGAGAAGAGAGATTATTAGTGAGAGGTCTATTAGAGTATGGTGTTTATTACAGAAAACGTTTATTAGGGGGGAATCCATTAAAGAATGGCATTTATTAGAAAGGGATGAAAGGGTTCTATTAGGGAATAGCGTTTATTCGAGAAGATAATTTGTTCTAGGGAGGCGGTTATTAGAGCAAGCGTCTCTTAAAGAGAGGATTTTATTAGAAAAAAGTAGTTCATGCCGAAAATTCGTAATTGTAACAACCTCAATAAGAACAAACTAGTCTCATATCATATAAATAAAAAATAAAAATAGTTTCACATCAGATTAATATGAAACTAGTTTTTCGTATCTCTGAGGATGGTTAATCTGAAGTCAATAAGAACAAAATATGCACTTTATTTCACACAAGAACCAAGTAAATATTGCGTAGGGTGGTCTAAGAAGAATGATTGCTAATTAATGCATTTATTCAGGTAATTGATGTAATGATGTATACCTTCAACGTAGGATGTACGAAATCAGAAATATTTATATTTCCTTTCATCCCGACCGAATACTTGACTCGCTTTAATATCGTCTCCGCCAGCACACCACGGTTTGCAAGTGGATTTTTCAAAGCTCTGACAGAACAAGACAATATTAGTGATTACTGGTTCTTTTTTCTCTGTGGTAACACTAATGTTAGGTACCAAATGGTTGCTAAATATATAGCACGCAATAAAATAATGATGTAAATTTCTCCGTGGCGAATTTAGCCATGGCAACTGGTCATGCTATGCTAATAACCTACATCTAAATAGGTTAAAGACAATACATTTCTAAAGGTTTGAATAATCGAAATCATTAAAAATTTGCATAGCATGACATGTTGCTATGGCTAGCTTCGCCACTGAAATTTCTGCAAGTGACTCCATCGCCATTGTGGTGTAGAAGTATTGAGATTTATTACGATATACCGGTATACCCGCATATTGTTACAATGTTTTTAGCAAATGTGTGCTGTGTAGTTGACACCCAATAACCCAAACATTATTTTAGCTAAATATTAATGTTCTAACATGTTAATAAATCATCTATATGCTATTTTGTGCGCACAAACATTGCTTTTCCTCCTCGTTTGCGAACTTTCCTTGCAGTTTAAAAAAAATTAAACTAATGATGGCCATGTCACCGGTATGATTTTTGTTATCCTGTAATAATGGCACACCCGAATAGTGTCAAAACCAATACCGCCAAAACCAATAAGAAATGGTTACTGCATAGGGAGATCATGGTTAGGAGAACAGTTTAGACGGAATACCCCTTACGATAATTACGTAATGAATACGTTCTTGGTCTGGGAGCCTCGCTCTCGTGAATCAAGACGGAATGCGATTGGCTCACGATTCATGAAAATGAGGCTCCGGGCCAAGAACGTATTCATGACGTAATTATCGAAAAGGTGTATTAAGATTGAATTTCAAGTGAGTTTCGCAACCTACTTTACAAGATGAGACAGTTTCTTTCCGGCGTACTGCATTCCAGTTAGAGCAATGTACATTCGAAGAATCTCATTCGTACCCTGCAAAAATACACAACACAAACAAAATATAGCATCAACCTTGAAGGCCTTTACTGAGTTTTGCAATCAACTACCAAGACTGATAAATTACCTCAAATATCATCATTATTCTGGTGTCTCGCATTATTCTTTCATATGGAAAAGCTCTCATATAACCAAGACCTGAAACAATAAATGCAAATTCAAACCTTGGAAGAATTTAAACATTACATGGCATGGCTGTGTGCAGCCACAAGAAGATTAACAAGGCGGGGATGCACAATTCCAGAATAACGTCAGCATCTCTAAGAATCACTCTCGTGCCAAGAAGGGGCGGATGGTATAAATTTCGTAACTACATTCAAAATAAAATTAGCACACGGTTCAATTTGCTTGAATTTGAGCGCAGATATTGGACTCCAACATTCGATTGGGGTATTAGTGTTTCGAAAATACATGTTTTTGTGTTTTAGAAGGAAAATAAGTCGCACGCATTGCATTGTAAACAAACAAACTTGGGCAAGTATAAAGGTCTTGGAACGCTGAATCAAACGGTGGTATCTTGATGAAAATAGCACGTATTAAGTGGCAGTCCCGCTAAGGGACCGGTCATTATTTATGGCAGGGGTGGGGGCCGAAGAGAAAATGGTGGGGTAACTGAAAAATAATACTTGCTTTAGGTGGGGTGGCCAAAAAATCCTTGCATGCAGAGGTGGGGTAAACAAAAAAATAACCTTACTTTAATCACACAATACAATATATACTATTATCAGAGTTTAATATGTGATTATTCTAATTTTTTAATAAAATATTATTGCTTTCCAAAATGTTGACAGAAACATCCACCCGTAAAGGGTCATTTTTATAGTCATTTACGCACAAAATCTCCAAAGACTCCAATTACCAGAAAAAATATATACTGACTATATATAGGGGCTGTTTATATGGTGCAACTGCAAGCCAACCCCAGGGTACCCAAGCTGGCCTAGTTTCGGCGAGATCCTGCCTTTGTTGTTATTTCTTACTAAAGTTCACCTTGTGTATATATATGGGTAAAGAGTGGACCCAGATATAGCTTAGCGAGATCCCGCCCCTTTAGCCCGAGATCTTGCCTCTGGAAAAGTGACCTTAAGTCTGTAGCCCCTAACCCCGGGCATCCAGGCTCGCCCCCATATAAGAGGGTCTTAATGGGGGTCTTTGGGTGTCAGTTGTCAGCTAAAATTTAAGCCAGTTGTCAGTGCGATATATTGCAAGGTGTCAGTAGTCAGTTACTGTCAAATGCTGACTCATCATTTTTTCATCATTTCTCAGTTGTCAGTTAGGATATTTTGTCAGTTGTCAGTCAAAAATTCAGGCAAATGTCAATAGTCAGTTAACCCCATTCAGACCCTCATATAAACATCCCCTTATTACATATTTCAAAAAGTATATGTACAGTCTATTAAATTTTCAGGATTTAATATTTGGGCATCTACACTTGATACTGTATAACTAATATCTATATCCAGTATGTGCTTGTAAACCATGTGGACAATTCAGGTAGTAAATCATGAAATATGCCCCATGCCCCTTGTGAATCTGGAGAATCATTCCAATGGCTAGTTCATAATATATTCAGCTCAAACATTGTTCTGAGTCTTTGGCAACTAGCTGTTTTTCTTTACTAGCAGACCATGTATTAATTGTTTATATAATCGTACTTGGAATTCGGATGAATATCTTTATCTTCACACTGTATAACAGCAACGTTTTCTCATTAATTTACAGTAACATCATTTCTAAATTCAGATATTCTCACATGGGACATTCCTTTGTATCATTGTATTGTTTACAAATTAAAATATTAAATTGATCTCGTAAACTTCAAGAATTCCTTGGGAATTCTTAAGGAATTCCTTTAAAATTCCGTGATAATACATGTGATTGTCTATAGTAAGGAAATGTTAAAGGAATTTCAGAGAAAATTTTAGAATTTAGATAGTTGCAATCATGGTAACCTGAAGTTCAGGCCCTATTCTGTGATTAGGGCCTGAACTTCAGGTTACAATCATGGGTGAGCACATATTTTGTGAAACTGTTTCAAAATAAAATTGCATTTTAATTAATAAAGAAATGCAAGAATGTGAAAGAAACCAAATTATATACAGTGAAACTTTAAAGTGGGAAAGAGATAGGGTGGTGAAATACGGTTAGTGTTCTAAAATATTAAAATATATGCTGTACAGGTAATAGCGTTGAATGCAAACTATAAAAACCCATTCATATTTCAATTTTTCAAGTAGACAAATTTTAAGCCTTCAGATAACTATAATTCTTTATATAGTACCTTGCTATTGTAAGGGTAACCCATAATAAGGCATGACTGTTAGTGTGCTTTAATTACTCCACAAGAAATAAGGGGCAAGGGATATTGGTAAACAAGTATTACCAATCAATCCTATTCCCTTTTAATTATAATGGCCACTGTGGTCAAAGCACCCTATAATAATTATTATTACTCTCTAACAGCAGATGATATCTTACTCAATACTCATAAAGGGCAATTTTGTACCTTGATGAGTAATACGCATACAAAATACTAAACTGTTTCATTACATATTTTATGTCGAACCTTAAATGACATTGCAACAAGAGAGGTTTGGGTGGGGTAAAAAAATTTTCTGGCATTCCACCGGTGGGGTAGCTAGAAATTTTGTTTCGAAAAAGGTGGGGTAATGATTTTTTCCGGCTTCATTATACTTTCTCTTCGGCCCCCACCCCTGCCATAAATAATGACCGGTCCCTAAGAACGGTCCGATGACTTTGACTTCGGAAAATAGATTTCCTTCATTTTGTGTGTGTTGAAAGGCATTGGTGTACAAGCGTCCAAAATAAATTTATTTTTTGAAAATTCTTTTTTATGGCTTCGCTAGACACCGAAACTCATTTTACCCGTGCAGAGCTATTTTCAAGCAAAATCGAAGGTTGAATTTCGGTAAATTGTAGAGCCGCGCTGAGTCAAAACGCCTGACTAATTCCAAATTTCAACTAGACCAACAAGTTAAGACACAATTCAGGTTCCCTGTTCCAAAAAATAAGAGCATTTGAATAAATCGTGAATAAACGACAGCAACTTGATGGCACACCGGTTTTTGCTTCTTGTTCGGTCTACAAAATTACACTAAAATCGAAGCCTAATATCTCCAAATGGGGACCTAAAATTACGCTGAAATGAGCTTGGCTGTAATGATTTATACTTATTTTCCGAAGATCTGAAGAAAAACCTGCGGGTATCAATCCGCATATGGCGCGTGTTAAGATTTTCTGGAGCTCATAATCAATGATTTTTGCATAATTTATAGCTAATTAACATATTTCTGGAGAGGCGCTAAAAAGTAAACAATTTCCTTCTGACTAACATCTCAGATGAAAGAAACTACCACAGCCAGTAAAATCCTTTTTGTAAATATAGTCATAATGTTCTTTTCCTGACACGCTGAGAGAGCTTTGTTTTTGAATGTTATGCCACATTCATTCAGTCTGACCAGATTCATAAATGTCACGAACTTGTATATTTCAAAAATATACCAGAATTCAGAAAGACCGATTATTCTTTCTTTGATTCAGTTGATTGATTTAGTTGATTGATTTAAAAAACTCTAGGCTTAGAATTTTTATCAATATGTTCTATTTTTCTGTGGCGACGGCATAACCAAATACGACATAAAAATGTACATTCGAATTTATGACCGACATATCGAATGTTATTTATGAAGTTTGAATTGAATTTACTTAACGTGAAATAAATACTAAAATAGGAATTTTCTATGCTCGGTTAGTAAAAAAAAGCATAATTTTAATTGTATGTAACTTCGATGAATACTATAAAAAAAATTATACGGATTAGCGTGAAAAGTTGTGTTTACGGATGGAAAATTGATTTCAAAATTGACTTCTATTCTAGCGATTTGTCGCCTTTGAAAGACAAAAGCCGCTCAAAATAATCCTTCACGTTTTCCGAATTCTTTTTTTCGAGGAAAGTTTTTTTACGAATTAATCTCGAACTCTCACGATTGACTTTTTGCTTCGTCTTATCTCTGGTTTTAGGCGCCCAGTAAGGACAAAAATACCACCGTTCGATTCAGTGTAAGAAATTATACTCGGAGATGTCAAATGTATACTCGGAGATGTCAAATGTATTACTAAACTACAGTATTCTAGGGATTTATGGCCTTTGAAAGACAAGCGAAATTGTATTAATCACAAATCGCTCAAAATTATTAATCTAATTAAAAATGCAATACATTTGACCTTGATAACTTTCGTATTGTTGGTTTTCTCTTTTTCGTCCGTATACCAGTCGATTTGTCTCACTTTTCTCTTTGTTTTGTTTGTAGTTTGGGGCCAAAATATTATATTTTGAAAGTTTTAATGTGCAGTTTTAATAAGCGAAACTACATTGTTTACAAATCTCTCAAAATTATTAAACTAAGGGACCGGTCATAAAGTAAAAGGGGGGTGGGCTGGGAAAAATAGGGGGTGGGTCACTATTTTTGAGCACGGTTGAAGGGGTGGGTCATCGCAAGTTAAGCGCAATCATAGGGGAGGGCCATGTAAAAATATGCAGACGATTGGGCCCCAGTTATTTTTTATGTTAAAAATTTCCGCGCAAAGAACAAGATATCTGTTTTTGGGGGCTAAGTAGTAAGTACCGAAATTTGGTATAAAAAATTAAGATAAAGTGAGTGTATCTAAAAGTCGAGAGTCGAGAGTATAGGTCGAGAGTCGAGAGTAAAAGTCGAGAGTCGAGAGTAAAAGTCGAGAGTCGAGAGTAAAAGTCGAGAGTCGAGAGTAAAAAGTCGAGAGTCGAGAGTAAAAAGTCGAGAGTCGATTGAGAGTAAAAAGTCGAGAGTCGGGAAATGTCATCAGAAACAACAAAGTCAAAATATTTTTAACACAATATACTGTATAACCGATCCGTAACAACGGCTGATTATAGCCGTACGGACGAGGGAGGAGGGAGGCACTCCCGCCCCCCCCCCCAGTCAAAATAAAATCATGCAAATTATAAACGTATAAATTCGGGCAAAAATATATTGGGGGAAATAAATTTAAAAAGAAGACAGTACATGCAATATAGTATTTGAAAATACCAGAAATATGTAAAAGTAACGAGGAATCGACAAATAGGAAAATATTTTTGTCT